AAATCTTCCTTCTGAGTGTTCGGAAGGCCTCAGCTGGAGGCCTGTTTTGCCTGGTTTTGGACCATCGGTTAAGGAAGAGGAGGGACCAACTAGAGAGAAAGCACTGAATGGTAATCTGAGCAACTTCAAATTTAGATATGAGGCTTACAAGAAGAAGAAAAGTGAACATATTAGGGTTATTTAGTTTGGAGAAAAGATGTAGGGAAGATGTAACAACTGTCTTCAATGCGGCAAAGTTTGCTGCAAAGAGAAAGGGACAAATATATCCTCTGTGTGGGTGAGATGGGGCTTAATTTGCAACCAGGGAGACTCAGGTCAAACATTGGGAATGTTTTTCTGTAACTGTGCAGAGCTGAGCATAAAATTAAGAGTTGTCACCACTGTCATCAACAACAGGTTAGACAAAAAGCTGTCAAGAATACCAAAGGTGCAGCTATCTCGCCCGGAGGCCGGACCAAATAGCTTATTGCCATTTTCAGCTTTATCTTCTCTGGCACTCCAGCACTTAATGACAGATTGGTGGTGGCTGTTCACTACGATAACACTAAAACCCTGGCTGGCACGTGGTCATAAGTCTGACCTGTACTGGAAACAAAAATGGAAGGCACTAGCATTTTGCTTCATATTTTATCTTAAAAGGTAATTTACTTCATTTAAATTGCAAATGCTCTCATGCAAGAAAGGGTAGAACTCCCTACGTGTTAGCACAGCAACTTTCCAGGCTCAAGAACTGAAATCACATGAAATGACTGAAACAAAAAAAAACATTAAGCATCATGCAAATATACAGATATGATTAGCAACCTTGCAGCACTTGTAGGCGGCTGTCAGTGACATATCATTCAATTATTTGGCCTTCATTTACTGCAGCAGCATTATAACTTAATCAACTACCAATCATTACATTGAGAACTAAGTTATACAGCAAGACTACAAAGGCTTATATCAGTTTTCTACCAGAAACTGGCCTCAGCACTGCATGATACAAATATCCTGTGAATTTTTAATGATTTTAACAATGTATTTAAAGAGGAGGAGTAAAGGCCTAGGCAGGCCTACTTTCTCCTGCACACAGTGCCGATGAGATCACTACCTCCTGATAGACCCATGTTTGGGGAAGAAAACTGCTGAGCACAAAAAGAGAAGAAAACCATTTGCGATCAGGGGGAGGGGAGGTTGGCAATGAAAACGGCCTGGTTTATGTGCAGAAATATCTCCTCAAGGAAACAACACCATCTGTTAAAGTGCCTGCTAACCTCCTGGGGGAGGAGGGAACCAATACGAGTGGTGGGAAGCAAAAACTGTAGAAACTGAGACATGAGACGCTGCGAGCGAAGAGGATCTGCTACGGGAATGAACTGCAAGGGCGAGCAGGGGGTCACCACCTTTGGTGCTTGCCCATCAGGACCACCTTTCTAGAAGATGTGCAAGCACAAGCCACACTTCAGTAGCTGGGCTCAATTAGGGATAAATTGGTGAAAACATGGCGAGTAACAAACAGAGGGTATTGTGTCCATCTTGCGTGTAGGCACCTGAAGCACAGTGCTGGAGGAGAAGGACACGAGGGCAGCGCGACAGCCCCAGCCTGATGCCACCACGACACCCCAGAGCCCCCGAGACGTGCTCGCTGGGACCTGCCAACACAGCACGTGAGAAACCTGACAATAACCACATCATCATCAGCTGTTTTACAGTTCCCCGCAGGGTGCTAAACACTTTATAATAGATAGAAAAGAAAGGTATTTTAAGAGTTTACTGTTAAATGTTAGATATAATGCAACAAGGATTTAATAAACAAAAAGAGAGCACAAGATGAGGCACAGCAATGACTGGAAGTAATAAGATGGGAAGTTCATTAAGTTTCATCATGCAGGCATCTTTGTGGCTTAATTAATTTTTTTTAGGGTGGGAATTACTTCAATTAGAATGATCTACCACGGCAGGGATCAAAAATAGAAAGCAGCATACATAAAAATATTATAAATGAAACAAAACATGAGAGGGCTGCTAACGCAATTTGAAACTTCTTGCTGGGGCTGCTAGCCCTGCCTGGGCTCGTGGGGAAAGGACACCCATTTGCCTTGGATATTTTTGTGGCTCTAAGGTAATAAATATCTCAGCATTAAGAAATAACTGTTTCTACTGACAAAAAGAAATTACACAGTGTAGCTGATGCAAGGGGGATGCAAAGATGCCCTAACTACTCAGGGCAGCATAAAACTGTATGAAAAAGCCTAGATCACTTGAATGAGCAAAAAGTACATTTTATGCTACAAAAAAGAATAGTGTATTTTTTCTTTCAAAAGAAAATCATTTAAATGGCAGCAAAATACTGATTGCCTATGATGACTCTCTCTTCATACATATAAAAAAAACATTTTTTGCACATTATTACTAAATGGTTACTTTTTAATAAAATAAAAGGAAAAACAATTAAAAGATACTATATATGATAAAAATATGATGCTATCATTAAAATACAGAAATGAAGAAATCTCTCTCAAGTAGGTACATAAAATCTGCATAAGTTGTTCTCTATGCAAATTTGTATGGCTTTTGAGCTGCAAGAATTGTGCAGTCTTGTTTCATAAGTCGTGATTATTAATGATTGAAAAAGAAAAGAGACGCATCAATTAATAGCTCAGACCAGAATTTTGTTTTAGAACCATGATTTCAAGTAATTAAGATTAGATAGCTGCATGATTGTTACAAAAATATATCTGCATATGCATTTTTGCTCTATTTGAATGTTCTGTTTAGCAAGCATTTGTCAAATTGATTAAGACAAATTACCATGGAAGAAAACAGTAACAAATTAACAATTGCGGTGGTTAATATCTTCCAAAAGTTACCGCCAGGAGCACACAGTTCTATGCAAAGGACTCCCCTGAAAAATTAAACAACCTAAAATATTTTATAAGCTACCAGCGCTCTGCTGTACATAAAAGAGAGATTAACAATGTTTTCAGTGGAAACAGGAGCCTGTAACAGGGAGATGCAGCATTTGCAGCAGGTCCTGTCTAGTCGCACTTACTCAGGACCTGAGGGCAGGAGCAAGGATGCTCTCCAGACTTGATCTTCTCTACAGAACCAACACAAAATCAGGCTGCACAGACCCCATGGGCATATAAAGCTACACGCACTTAATCTCTGCAAAATTACATTGATTTGTGCCACTGACTCTGTGCCAACAATTGCGTGACCTTGGGAAAGTCATTTAAATTTTCTCTGTTGAAGTTTGCACATCTCTGCGGCTGAACACTTAAACCATCTATCTCAAAAGAGACAGAAACAGCTAACATTTGCACAAAAATCTGACATCGAATGTTGAAAGGCCCTGGATGAGCACCGTGCGTTACTAGCACGGGCATACTAGCACCTGTCCTTTAATATAATGTCCTTTATTGTATTACTAGATTTCTGTGACCTTCATAAAACCTCTGCCTCACCATTTAGTAATAAAACTTATGCTGGTACAAGACAGTGACGCCAAGCTGATCTAGGTGCTTATTCCTCAGAAATATTCAAGAGGGCAGAAGTCACCAGCGGCAGCTGTTCACACACCTAACCTCAGCACCAATCCGTTTTGCGTAGGCTATTGAATCATCTCCTTCCAAAACCTCCACGGTGGCTTAATACAAGTTTAAAAAATGTGAAATGATCCAAAGCCTCTCAAGGCTTGGTAGTTTGTCTCAGTAAACGGCATATGGAAATTTTAATCAGAGACATATGGCTTTTCATACTTACAATTATCCAACTTTGGCTGGAGTAATTAAAAATTTCCCCAAG